CGCTTTCACGGTCTATTGAAACTGATATGCCGTAAAACTATAACGCGTCGTTCTGGATGTTTTCGAATCTCTAGAAATACGTAAAAATCGGCGATAAGCGCTCTATCTAGTCGTACGAAAATTGGAGAGTGGGCGTGGTTGGCGATGCTCACTATTATGTTTCATTGTTCGTTCATTGATTTAATGCAGATAGTCACAGTTTATAGTTTAACGCTAGCAACCGAATGAAAGAATTTTTTACGGCCGTAGTTCTTCGAAAATGCTTACGATTTTTTCAAAATCGCCACTACGAAACCTGTACTTTTCGTGGATTTTTTGGGAACTTTTCCAAAAGTTCAATTTTTGACATTTTTTTTCACCACTTTCGCAACTCCTTATAATTTTCAAATAAAATGGTTTCAGCTTACCATTTTTTGTGAATGATTCGACTCGGATATTTCGGAAAGCAGTCATCGTATCGACTTGGGATTATTTTTCTGATAGATGGTATCAGCGGATGTGTATTTAATAAATGTATGTATTTACATCCAGACAAAGTCGATTTTCCAACAAAACATATCGGACGCCGCAATCGAATGTTCGAATTTATTAAAGCTCTAGTGTTCCTCAAGTACTGTCGTCATTGTATTATCCGTATTTAGGAGATATAAAGCAGCACATAAAATGACATAAATAGATCGTCGGTTGTCGTAAGAACAGCGATATGCACAACACGAATGGGTACGATGTCGTTTGGTGCACCCTCAGTTCCTTACATCGATCTGGGCGTTCATTTTTGGCAGTAAATCATCGGCTTCGATTTATTGGAAAACTTTGTGCGCTCTAACTAATATCAATTAAGCCAACAAGGGCTCCAAGATGATTTACCTGAAAGTGTCGATAAATCACTCAGGAATCTAAACACTTATTGAAATAATACTGTTGCTATTAATCGAGTAGGGTAGGCAGGAGTAGGCGAAAATATCGCGTAAGATTCCGGTACTCTCGGGTGTCGTAACGCAAGAAGGAAGTTCCGCGTTGTCGAATGCGCCGGCAAATCATCAGCAACAACTCCGCAGTGCCTGGGAATAGCCTTCGCATAAAAAATTGCCGTAATAACAGGAATATGTGTCTCTAACCAGAAAGGTCAGTGCTTTAGGGAATTTTAATTGGCCGGGGCTTGCGGTGGAGTTGTTCGCCGACAATAATACCCCGCACTTATAAAACAGCTAAGTAAATGTGAGGGAAATTTCAAATTTTCCCACAGCATTATAGTTGGAAATTTTTAATCAAGGTGATCGATAACTTTTTATTACCGTCAGCTCATAACTTCGATAAGGCAATTTCAGCACTTCACTACGTTATAAAACTCCAACCGTCTTCAATTTATCAATTAATTACGGCTATCTCTACTCGAACAGTCACATTGTCTCAAGTTTACAAACTGTAATTTTTCACTCCGATTTCAAATATTTGCTCCCTCTCCATATACTGTTTTTTTTCAAAAGTGCCGATTTCATAATCATGGTTGTGTCAGCATCCGGTCAAAATTAACTCGGTAATTTATATTCCACGCAAGCTTTGCACCGACGACGCTTTGTATAAGGATATTAGTTAATGATTGATACAGAATTATAAAGAAACTTCGAACGTTTTGCTTAACAAGTTTCGCTATTAGCTTCTATAGTACCCGTCATTCCCGTTTTCAAATTAAACCTTTCTTGATCGCCGCGTCGAGTTACTAAAACGTGAAAAGTCAAGTCGTGATCTTCAGAACATTACGTCATGTTGCCAACATTAACAATCAAATGTCACAGTCCATGTATATCTGCTACACGGGTTTTTTTCAAAACGTCCCTTTGCGCAGCACAGTTTTTTATCAAACTTTTCTAATTATGTTAAATGGAATAGTTAAACGAGTACGTTTATTAAGCTCCGTCGGCAGGAGATTTTACGCAAGGTCTAAAAACCAAATGCAGCATTTTTTTAAACATTATTTTCTTGTAGATTTCGAGCTCTAGAAATCACTTCCGGCCTCGTTTTTCGATAACTCCAACAATTTTCCAGAATTGTCCATTAAAATATGGCAATTTTTGGAATTTTTAAAAATATTAATCTTAAAATCGAATTTTTCGAAAATATTGTTCCGTTACCATAAACACGCTATATTTTTGGAATCAGTTCGTTGAAGTCTATATCCCAGACATTTTTGAAGATTTTTAGACAACTATTTCAACAGTGAAATTTTTCCAATTCTTCAAATTTCGATCCATTTCCGACCATTTTCGAAACTCAACTGAATACATTTTCTTGGAGATTTCAAGCTCTAGAAATTACTTCCGGTATCGTTTTTACGATAACTAAAACCGTTTTTCCAGAATAGGTCACTGAAATATCGCGATTTTTGGAGTTTTAAAATGAAAAAATTCATTTTAAAACCGAATATTTCGAAAATTTTGCTCCGTTACCATAAACCCCCTAGATTTTTAGACAACTTTTTCAAAAGTGAATTTTTTCTAATACTCCGCCTTTTTTCAAATTTCGATCCATTTTCGACCATTTTCGAACTCAACTAAATACGTTTTTGAAGAATTGCCCATTGAAATATCCCGATTTTTTTAATTTTTAAAAAAATTTCATTTTAAAACCGAATATTTCCAAAATATTGCTCCGTGACCATACATATGCTATATTTTTGGAATCAGCACGTCGAGATCGATATCCGAGGTTTTTTTGAAGATTGTTAGACAACGTTTCAAAAGTGAAATTTTTCCACTAAATCGGTGTGCAAAATTTGGACTACGGTATACTACTCATTAAACATTCTGAATAAAAGATCTGTTGATTAAAAATAAGAGTACATTTGAACAAAAATATAATTGATTTAATTTTATTATACAGGGTGAGTATTATAATAACGGGACCCTGACCAATTTTCAATGCAACACAACATACATCTATCAATTGTTGCTAGATTCCAAAATAAACCCATACGTTTTTAGGATCAACGTAGGTACTCTCCTTACTAGTTGTCACTGTTTCTGAAAGACGTCAATCAAAATTTCACAAATGAAACATTAAACAAAAACACCAACATATTAATTCAAAGAAATGTAATAAATAAATCGAACAATTAAATAAATTTAACTAACGTAAGTACTGTTCAAAATGCCTTCCTTCCTGGACAACACACATTTCGATGCGAATTAAGCAAGACAACCGGACGCGGGCAAGTGTTTCAGAAGTCATTGCAGCACATGCATTTCTAATTCTGGTTTTTAAATCTTCACAATTACGAATAGGACTTTGGTAAACTTGTTCTTTTACAATTTTCTGGGTTCTTTTTAAAATTTAAACAAAATTAAATTTGACCTTTCTATCATTAATTTAAACTTTCTCTAAATATTTTTGTTATTTTACGTTCTGTTTCCCAGAAATTAAAAATATCTTTAAGTTTTTGTTTTTCTGAATTTTAAATTTTCTCTTCTGGACACTTTGTATTTTTTGATTGATGATGAGAGTTTAATTATACCTCAAAGAAGTCAAAATCAGCATGTAGTATATACTAAATGAACCAAGTTAACAGCAAAAATTCCGTGAAAAAAACACCCTAAAATGAGATACTGGATGAAAAAATGCGGAACTTATGCATTCTTATATGTATAGTAGCAACAGATTTATTATCTAACAGCGATAAACTATATACTTCTATATTCGTAATATATATATATATATCTTTTAAATTAAAAAAATTAAATTATTTTAAATAATAACATTACTTTTTGGAGTGATTCAGGACCCCAGGCGATCGCCGGATAGCGGGGCGGGCCAATCCGACACCGCGTGTAGAAATTTTCATTCTATTCGGTTGGCCTTGACTGTCGTTACTTTTTTACTTTTAGTTTTTACTGCACCTCTCCTGTTACCTTTAAATTTTAAACGCTCAAAGTTCATCAGGCTCACAGTCACCAAACAAGTTAGAGGTAGTTCACAAAAGAAGAAGGCCAATACCCCGGTAAAAGTTTTTCTACTCCAAAGGTAAGTGCGACAATTCGTGAAAAGTAACTTATCTGAATGGAAACAAAAAACTGCAGGCCTCTCAACCCAAGGGAAAAAGAACAAAAATGCTTCAACGTCGTCCATGCAGCACAGGCCCGTGAAGTAGTGTTGAAAAAGGGGGTGAATAAAAGAAAGTTCACGTGTGATCACTTTTTTGGACCCGAGACTACCCAGTCGGAGCTATACAATGCCACACTCGCTCCCATGATTAACAACGTAGTTGCAGGCTATAATTGCACCCTTTTTGCTTATGGGCAGACCGGAACTGGCAAAACCCACGCGATGCTTGGTGAAATCAAACCGGGTGCAGACATCAATTCCAGAATGGTAGGTTGATTGTTGTTGTAATTTAGACGTTATGGGTACTGTTAAAATTTGTTATCGTCAATGTGTTTTATCCGTTAGTAGATGCAGAATTTTTACTGTCGCTAAGTTTTGGTTTTGGTCATTCTTAATTTTTTAATATGATGGTTGTTGCATGAGGAATTTTGAGGTATTAATAAAAGTGACAACGCCTGTAATTCTAATTTTAAAAATGGTAACAAATGCACGCTAAACTCACTTGATGAATTTTGTGGTTGTGGGCGGTATATTCTCAATCGGAAGATAGAAATATCTATGCACAAGTAAAGCAATTAAAAAGTTAAAACGTTTTTTCGTACTTCAGGACGAATCGGTGGGTCTTTCTGCTGAGTTGAGCATACTCAACGTTCGGACTGAGTACACCGTCAGAACATCTTTTGCAGAAATCCACAACGAAGAAGTTCATGATGTATTCCGAGATAATATGGTTTTGAGGTTCGTTTGTCATAAGTCAGCGTTCATGGTTTTATTTGCGTCATTTTAGGATCTACGATGACCCGCTCGTTAAAGGATCCGTTTGTTTGAAAGAGTTGAAGACAGTCAATACGGCAAACGTTGTAGAGTGGATTATTATAGGTCTTCGAGCTCGTTAAAAAAATGCTGCTCATTACAATATCCAGAATATGTGTTCGCACGTCATTTTCATGTTTTTCGTAAGCGTACGGGAAATCGATGGTAGAGGTGACGAGAGCAACAGAAGTGGAAGACTACGACTGCTGGATTTGGCAGGTAACGAAAGTGCTGGACGGGAACGAGCCAGAGATTTCGGCACTGTCAATTATTCTATCCAGACTTTACCAATAGTGGTTAAAGCTGCAGCCCAAAGAATACAGCACGTGTCTTATAGGGAGTCCAAGCTGACTAGAATTCTACAAGATAGTTTGAACGGTAACACCAAAACCGCGATGTTAGCCACGTTCTCGCCAAGCTCAGGGTCTTGGAAGGACACCGTAGCCACACTGGAACTAGGACAGCTAATCTATAGTTACAAGACTACGTCAACGTCGACAGAAAGCAGGTCAATTGATTAACAGAGTTAGATGATGAGCTGGACAAATTGCATTCTGAACTCGCCCGCTGCCAAAAGATGCGAAGGAGTTTTCGTCAGCAACCAAACCTTCGAACAAATGTCAGACGATACTAACAACAATAACAACCAAAGAGTTCTCGAACTGGTGGGTAAAATCGCCGAATTAGCGAACCACAAGCGTTCGATTGATTTGCAGTATGGCTCCCGACAATTCTCCTTCCACAAAAAGGGATTCCCTTGGGATACTTGTATGTTTATCTAGCGGGTGTATCCCCGGCACGTCCAGTGCTCTGAATGCTTTGATAACACTCCTCAAGGTTTTTCGTTGCATCAGCCAAACGTGTCTGCAGGTCAACGCTCCGGTGCACTTGATTCTGCAACAACTGCGTGAGAGTGCCATCCAGTCGACCCAAAGTCGACAATGTTTTTTCGAGTATATTTTGTCCAGATGTGTTGACCAATGACGATCGCCCGGTTTGTAAGACATCGCGAAATTCCTGGAATGGCGTTTACAAATAAAGGAGTCTTGGTAGAGCTCTACCAAGACTTTTCAATATTTGTAAACGCCATTTTAGAAGCACACATCGCTAAAGTAAAAGCTATAAAAGAGCGAAACGCGAATATGGCCCTAGCACCAGTACGAGAATCCATCAATCATTACTTGGAGCAAGTAAGTTACATAATTTTACTAGTATTCGGTTGAATGTTTATTTTAGCCGCGCAAAATCCTGAATACCTCAATGGTGAAAATAAAAAATGTTTTGCAACAAGCCGAGTCTAATCAATGTCTCGTGCACACTCAAGCAGAGTCAGATCGGAGCGCTATACACCAAAAGCGTCAAGCAAATTGAAGCAACCGTCAAGGAAAATCTAACTCAAAGAAATGAGGTAAGTCGGATTAAACTGTGGTACGTGGTTAAGTTATTTGCTATTTAGGAACTTTGCGATGTCTTACAAATCGGGCGATCGTCACTGGTCAGCACAGCTCGACAAAATTTAGTCGAAAAATCATTGCCGATTTTGGGTCGAATGGATGGCACTCTCACGCAGTTGTCGCAGAATCAAGTGCACCGGAACGTTGACATACAGACACGTTTGGCTGATGCAACGAAAAACCTTGAGGAGTGTTATCAAGGCATTCAGAGCACTGGACGTGCCGGGGATACACCCGCTAGACAAACATACAAGTATCCCAAGGGAATCCCTTTTTGTGGAAGGAGAGTGGTCGCGAGCGATACTGCAAATCGATCGAACGCTTGTGGTTCACTAATTCGGCGATTTTACCCACCAGTTCGAGAACTTTTTGGTTGTTGTTGTTAGTATCGTCTGTCATTTGTTCGAAGGTTTGGTTGTTGACGAAAACTCCTTCGCATCTTTTGGCAGCGGCGACGAGTTCAGAATTCAATTTGTCCAGCTCATCATCTACCTCTGTTAATCAATTGACCTGCTTTTTGTCGACGTTGACGTAAGTCTTGTAACTATAGATTAGCTGTCCTAGTTCCAGTGTGGCTACGGTGTCTTTCCAAGAGCCTGATCTTGGCAAGAACGTGGCAATCATTCCGGTTTTGGTGTTACCGTTCAAACTATCTTGTATAATTCTAGTCAGCTTGGACTCCCTATAAGACACGTGCTGTATTCTTTGGGCTACAGCTTTAATCACTATTGGTAAAGTCTGGATAGAATGATTGACGTTGCCGAAATCTCGGGCTCGTACCCGTCCAGCGCTTTCGTTTCTTGTCAAATCCAGCAGTCGTAGTCTTTCACTTCTGTTGATCTCGTCACCTCTACCATCGATTTTCCGTAGGGTTACTAAAAACGTGAAAATGACGTGCGAACGCATATTCTGGATATTGTAATGAGCAGCATTTTTTTGACGAGCTCGAAGGCCTATAGTAATTCACTCTACAACGTTTGCCGTAGTGACTGTCTTCAACTCTTTCAAACAAACGGATACTTTAACAAGTGGGTCATTGTAGATCCTAAAATGACGCAAATAAAACCATGAACACTGACACGCTGTTCCAAAACTGGAATATGAACGGCAACGGCAATTCACACAATGGAAGTGATAAATAAAGTTGGTATTTGTTTGAGGATTGATGAACATTTTCATATCAAATTATTTGAATATTTGTAGTTGTAGTAATTATTATTTCACAATTTTATTGCTATACAAAAATTCTATGATGCTTTACTTTTACTATTAATAATGAAAATAAAGCATTATAAAATTTTTGTACGGCAATAAAATTGTAAAATAATAATTACTACAACTACAAATATACAAACAGTTTGTTATCAAAATGTCGAGAGTTCATCAGTACTCACTTCACTTTTCTTTTTCCTGTGCACAAACACGAATAAAATTGTGAAATAATAAAATTTTCGTTAATAATTTCATGATTTCGTGTTCTCTGCTCGTCTATTTGTAATATAGGTATTTGTGTATTTATTGTATTGTATTTATATTTACATTTATATTAAATTACAGTTTATAAAAGTCTTTATTACAACCCCCACTTTGTAGTTTTTCTGCAAAAAAATGTGAAATTTAGAACATTCTTGCGTTTGAATTTCTTTTTTTTCAAATTTCGCGCGCTATTTTCCCTTCCACTTTTGCCAAATCAACAACAACAACTTTGAATAAAAATGTGCTAAAATATCACCGAATGTGCTTAACCTCAAATCATCATCAAATTTTTCTTGCAACAAGGTCGATTTAATTAATGGCTAATTTCATGTTTTTTCTCGCACAGTAAGAAAATATCGGTCTCCCACTTCTGTCTGTCTGATTTCAGGAGTATTTTAGAAATAGTCGGCCGGTAATTTCGAAGATTATCTGTCTAATAAAAATCTGGACAGACGACAGACAGACAAACGGAAACGAGAAACCTATTGTTTCGCACTTTACGGGTCATGACACTAGCCAAGTTTACGGGCGGCAAGTAAAAATAGTGTCAAACTTTTTAGGGGGCAGTATAGGCAGTTAGAAATAGAGATGGCGTCATCAAAATTTTGATGGATCTTATAAAATCATAAAATTTTAGCGCAAGTTCGACAGCTGTTGTATATCCAACAAATTTCCTATAGGCGGAAACGAGAAACCTAGATATTATCCAAAGTTGCCCTGTCACAACACTTCTTTACCTATCGTAAAACGTAAAAAATCTCAGACTTCTTTGCTTTTATCATAACTTATCCAAAAGAAAACAAGTAGTAGAAAACATTTATTTTTATAGTCAAATGCACAATCGCAACTATGAACAAAATCTTGCTTGTATGATTCTGGTTTTTTTAACTGACTGTATAAGGTGAGCATTATAATAACGGGACCCTGACCAATTTTCAATGCAACACAACATACATGAATCAGTTATTGCTAGGTTCCAAAATAAACACATACGTTTTTTGGATGAACGTAGGTACTCTTGTTTCTAAAAGACGTCAATCAAAATTTCACAAATGAAATACATATTAAAAAAACACCAACATAACACATTAATTCAAAGAAATGTAATAAATAAATTGATCAATTAAAGAACGAGTTTCATAAGGCAAATATTAAGGCATGAATCCAAGAGTGGATGAGTGCCACAATGGCCTTATGAACGACGCACCTTTTTTCGCAAAATTTAATTGAAATTTGAGTTTTTTTTAATCTGGGGGATTTTGTCGTGGTTCGTGATGTGGTCAAGTGGTCGAATCTGTGCTTAAAAAAAATTCAATTCACCCACCCGGTTTTCATTCTAATTACTCATGTTATTAAACAAGTGTATTTTCTATTGATAACTAGTGGACAAAAAGGTAAAACTAACTCCACCCAGCCTCGTTTTTGAATTTCTCCAATCTACTCATAAAAAAATTCAAATTTCAACCCATTTTCGACCATTTTCGAATGTCAACTAAAGAAATTTTCTTGTAGATTTCGAGCCCTGGAATTCACTTCCGACGTCGTTTCTTTGATAATTGCAACCGTTTTTCCAGAATAGCCCACTGAAATATCGCAATATTTGGAATTTTTAAAAATTAGACTCTAAAACCGAATATTTCTAAAACATTATTCCGTTACCATAAACAAGCACAGACTTTTGGACTTCTTGTTACGGCACCGTCAGAAAATACAGTTAAAGAAGTTCGTGACGTAGATAAAAATAATGAATACATAATTCGAGTCAAAATTTCCCTCTCGCAGTGCACACCATCGACTCTGAATAGCATTTTCTTAACTAGTTACATTTAAACCGGCGCCACGGAATGCAGTGTATTTCTTGAAATTCTTTTCGTAATTTTGTTTGAAATACCACTCGCATCGGTGTAATTAAAACTGGATTAAAATGTTTGGACGAATTAAGTTTAAAAACAAGCGTAAAGAATGTCTAAATTAAAATGAAGTTTTAGTTTTGAAAATTCGGTATCGGGGAGCGATAAATGTTCAATCAAACAATAATTTTCCGTAATAAACTCAACGTTCCGTTACTTATTTTAATCCTGTGATTGTTCAATCGATTCATAAAAAGCGGGTTCCACTCCTGCGATCATTAATATAATCATTTAAGACCATTATTTCAGCATCAACGCTCTCTTCTCTTTATTTAGAATCTAGAGATAAGAGATAATACTCTCAGGGTTAAAATTTTGAGGATCGTTTTATCATGTACTTTAACGCAAATTCCGTCGAGAATTGTTACTAGCGTAATAACGGTAGAAGAATTGAAATTTTCAACTCGATTATTAAATACCTGCAGTAGTGGAGGACTCGTGAAAGAACGACCAAGAAAATGAGAGGCATTTGTTTCCGGTGAAAGATAAAAGATAAGTGACCCTTTTTAAATGTTGTATTTTTGCCTGCCTGCATCTCCAAGATCCGAGTTTAATTTAGAAAAAGGGTAAATTTTCGGTTTAATTCTTCGTTGCGAGAATGATGGAACATGACTAATGAACATGATCTGAACACTTGTCCCATTATCGGCAGCGACAAGTTTAATGATCGTGCGAATGGGGAAAAACGCCGGTGCAGTTCAGAGAGGAGCTTCTTGTAGTGCAACAACTGCTAGCAGTTAAGTGAATAATTGAACTTAACTATCTGAGCTTGAAGTTGTTGATCTGATCGGTCTCGAGCCATCAAACTAATCCATAAAAAACAAGTAAACAACAACGAGCATTCATCGTTGACAGAGATTAGAATCCGAAAATATTATTGTTTGCTATGGGAAAGTAGAAAAATCAATCCTAGCATGTAAACAGGTTTTTCCCGTTCGTTCTGGAGCGCACGCAAACATCAATATTTTACAGTTATGTCAGTGAAAGTATGTGAATGGCTACCAACGTCGGGAAACCACAAATTCGCTAATTTAATATACCGGTGCACGAGCAGTCGAGGAAATTTTGTCGATTTAAAAAATTCAACCGGCGCATCCACCATTCGATTCGGGTTAGGCGTAGGTATACTAATAAATCGAGGGTGAATTTTGTGCGCCATTATACTACTAAGGTGTGTATTTGGCATTGTGCATGCAAGGAAATAATAAAGTATTGCTTCGAACGGAATCGATTTAAGTACATCCGTTTTTTTTTCTTTTCCTCGAACCAAATACACTTAATACCATTTGTATTAAGTATATTTAGGCTAATGCGCTCGGGGTTGATTTTCATTATACGGCATTATTGAATTAAAGTGGTGTAGTATTTATGTCGAGTAAAGGACGCAACTCAACGAAAATAATTTTTGTCCCATTTGAAAATTTTTTTCGTCGTTATGAGCTGTCACTGCTATCATTTTTCAGCCGCTGCGTCCTGACAGACACCGTTTTTATTTATATGTAATCTGGCGATGACCACAGACGTAATTAAACCATAAAAGAACGTCCTCCGAATTTAACACTTCGCTAACTAAAGAATTTTTTAGACCCTTGCTTAAGTACATCTAAAAATTAAATCTCTTTTATTCAGGGGCGACGTCACGATCGCTGATTATATCTTATTCTTGTAATTCTTTCTTCGTCGCTAATTGGATTAGATAAAGTGGCAACAATAGCCATGAATTATAGTATAATCCGGTTTAAATTCAAATAATTGTTACTTAGATGTCAGTGACGGCGATTGACATTGATTAAGTCTGGCATGCGCAATAACTAAAATACGGCGTTGAAATCTCCCTCAATCGACTGGAGAAACTATTTCCGTGCAACTTTTCTGTTACAGTGGTTAGATTAATGCGTAACGCTGTTTACGATATTGAGGACGTCACCATGGAGAACTCGGTCGCCCTATGAGCACACGACCTGCCATTAAGTCCTTTATATTTATTGTGTGAATTGTTACCGATTTGTGTATTTCGTGGTTTGGAAGTGGCCTTGGGTTGGCCGTTTGAACTAGACGATGGAACAAATAAAGGGGTGGGACTACATAAATTAGGTTACGCAAGTAATTTAATTGCTTCAATATCGACGACTGTATTTATGAAAAAAAAAACAAAATCAATTCGGAAACATTCCGCTTCTGTTGCTAAAGGATTAAGTATTTCGACGTTTGTGAGATACTCACAACTTAGATACATAAATATTAAATCTCTTTTATTTCGAGATGACGCGCGATATGGCGCCGAGGGTTGTTAATTATATTTCTTATCTTTGTAATTTAATAAAAACTCGAAAAACTTAATAGAACAAAATGTTGGCATGTTTATTCGAACCGTTGCTTTTATAAAGTGGTAGTTTTATTAACAAAGCGATTTTAAAAGTTAAATTAAAAAACTTCGAGAAGTTCGTGCAATAAAAATGGTTTTCGTTGTTATTAAAGGAGTTACAGATATCGAACACCATCAATAATCCGCGTCTCGGCTTTGCATTATTTCAAAAATGACGCTCTTGATTTGATTAGGTTAAATAAAAGCTCCCACTGTCATCGAGCTTTTAGTGTCAATAACATTACCTGTCGATAAATTTTTAATTAATTTCGAAAGAAAAATTAATCAACTTCGATCGCAGTGCTTTCAACCAATTTGTCAAATTGGCCATATAGAATTGCTCTCTTTCTAAATAAATCCATCTCGATAAATATTTCGTAGTGGTTAAACGAAATTAATATTTTAGCTGGGTTAAAGTACAGTTCAAATATGATTAAATTTTTAAGCCGATAGTGTTTACGTAATCGCGGAGAATTAGATCGAGTTTCGCTTTCTGCTACATAACCCACATAATATTGTAGACGCAATAATCCATTATGGTGTTAAATATTTCTAAAACGACGACCATACCCGAGACTAAAACACCGGCGGGTCCAGACTATACAACAATATTTGTTTGTTGCCACACGTAAATAACAGTGCAGAACCGACGAGGTTCTTGCAGGAGAAAAGCTGTATCGATTATGTACGAGTTCGTACGACTGCATTAAATTTTAATAAACATTTTGAATATCCGTTAATATTTTATCTGCTATTAAAATCATATATTCGAAATTTGAGCTCTTTACCCGTAAATGACATGCGGCATCTGCCCATCAGCGCTATTTCGTTGGTAATCCCTACAAATGGCATTTTTATATAACCGTATCCTCGGTGTATAACAAAACTGACAATATATTCATATATTCGTACTGCATAAATCACAGCGCCGTACATCATAAAAGCTTTATTTAACAACTGATAAATGAATATTGACAGCATTCATAAATACGTAAAAATGAAGAGTTTTATTTAGAAATTTCGAACACATACAACTCCGGCCAAGAATTAAATGCATGAGATACGAAATGTTGCGAATAATTTATAACGTTATCTTCAAACAAGCATACGGCGGCGTTACCATTAATTTTCGTCAAAATAAAGCGGTCCCACATGGTCACTCTGACGTGGAACATTCAAAATCATTTAGATCGTTCAATGGAAACGATGTCGGCAGTTTCCGTTGCATGATTGTGGATACACACCAACTACAATTATATTATTTGTGTACTAATGGGTCATCAGAGAATATACGCTCGAGGGCCATATATAACGGTAACATTTCTAACGCGGTCTCTCAGGTCATTTTAAATTTGCTTCAGAAATTCTTCTTCATAAAATGCCAACGAGGACATCGCTAAATTTTGTTTATGAAAAACTGGGGAACTCTGGAATTTGTTACAAGTCGCTGCACCACTACCTGCCCTCAGCAACGACGTAGTATTCTTGTCGCTATTCTTTTTGTTTTTATTAAAAAATGGATTTAGCGAAAATTTTCCTCGACTCTTGGCAAAACTCGACTCGCAACTTTGTCGACCGCGTGTCCAGCTCTCGTAACAGTTAAAAATGTATCGAGTTTGGTGATAGTTTCTGGTGATTTGGAGGTTAGCCGAACTAAGACTGTCGTATTTTTGTTGAAAAACTCGTAGATCGAGTGATGCGTTGTTGGGGAAAAAGTTCGTGGGAAAACAGATCCGGACTCAGATAAATTTTTACGTAGTCCTTTGTTTCCTCTCTTATGACGTACATGTAATCGGTTCTACAAACGTAGGATTTTCACTTTTTGACGTCAGCTGTGGTGGGTTTCGGTTTCCTGTACCGCCTGCGCATTGGCTTATTCGTGCTCGTACAACCACCCACAAGCATTATTTTCACTTATTTAAGTATTTTTACTGTGTTTCAATTATTTACTTATGTAACAAACGAGGGCGTGTAGTTATATTCATCAGTTTATGTTTCAGTACTCGCAGAATCTGTCTCACATGGTAATCGGCCGTTAGATTGGCCTAATTTACAGCCTCCCCCCTGCCGTTTTTGTATCTTGTACACACCGCGATAAATTAGAGAAAACTCATCAAACTTTCCGCGAATAACTCGTTATTAACGCTGAAAACTAACTTCCAGAAACGCATAATTAGAAAACAATTGAACAATTAACAATTTCGTAACGTAGCGTCGAAGGACAAAATTGAGGCTCGATCCGAGATCAAAGAAATTGCGGCGATGATAGCAATACAGTGCGGATATCAAAGGAATGCATATAAAATACCTGTCTAACCTCTAGGGTCGCCAAAAATCAACAGAAATTTTTGAAAGGAACCGTTTTACTTTAAATGCAAATTGGAATTGAAGTGCGCGCGCTAAATGTACAGCTGACGAATTTATAATTAAGAATTTCGAGATCAAAGCGATCAGATTATATGTATAAATGTTGATGAAGGAATATCGATCGCGGTTATTTTTGTTTATCCAGGGGAGGTTAATGAGTAACATTAAAAATAATTTCTGACCAGATGACGAAGGACCGGCGCCCGAAAAAGGTTACAGACGAGTTATTTATTTCGTAATTATATTACTTTGAGGTTGTGCGAAAAAAATGTCGGATAACGAATTATTCTTTCATTTATACGATTTTTGGTCAATTTTGTGGCCGCTAAGCTCTTTGATCATTCGACAAATTTACAAACATTTAATCTCCATGACCCGACCGATCAACTTCATGAATTATCTGCGCAAAATTCCGCGCTTCATTCGGATAAAATGTTATTTATTCTGGGTTGCATGTAATGGCAGTGTTAACTTTGCAAAATATTCTACCGGCGGAACGATAAAATCGCTCAATTTAAATTCCGAAAAAGTTTGCGGCTATTTAGATTACACTTCTCGAATTAAGGGATAATGGACTAATTATATAGGCGCACAACAATGCATCGATCTTTAGATTTTTTTTAAAGGTTACGCCATTATCGAGCAGCAACAATCGTTGTGGCAACTAATCTCTTTTCGTTTCAATTTCTAGCACGTTTCGAAAAATTTTCTAACGATAATTTATGTCGCGCATAATTGTTCCTGAGGCTCGGTAAATGTTTCTTTATCGCTTTAATACGTGTACGGTTATTGCTGTAAATAGATCACCGCAGAATATTGCATACCAATTACGTGCACTAACTAAAATTAGATAAACCTGTCTAGTTTAACGGTGCGTCAAATGTCCAAACTAACCACCGCTGCACAGAACGAAACCTAAACATACATTAAATTTCAAAATCACACTTGCAAATTGCATTTACAAGATTGATTCGACGCGATGTTTTTAAAAACAGAATAAAATAAAATCGAGCGTCGACAGAATGAAATTCTGTTATTTTATTCAAAACAACGTAGCTCAATCTGATGAAAATGTTTCATTAATTAAGGCACTTATAATCAGGACATCCGAAATATGGCACTAATGGATAATTCGCAGTTAGTGGAATAATGCTTATTAACACTCAAATGTCTTTACACATCTTAAGCAAATCACCAAAATAATTATTTTAGTAATGCTCTAATAATCAAGATCTTAATTAACTGAGCGCTTAATTTACGTCTCTAATAAGCAGTTGTTTATGAGTACTCGATGCTCGTTCCTTTATGACTTCGGTTGCCGAAATTTACAAAAATCGACTACGTCTTGTACGTTCTACGCTTTTTTAATAGACGGTTAAGCGAACGCGTTTTTCTAAATACGTCGACGACTTGACCCGAATAACGACGTCGTATATCGTATATCTTTGTCGTACGACGTCCGTTCTCGGAAGCGGCAAAACGTTGAGTAAAAACCCTCACAAGTGTTATTATATTCACGAAGTGTCTCAAACATACATTCGTGATGCCTTGACCACCAACATTTCAAATACCAAGAAAAGAAAAATGGTGGAGGCGCCGGGATAATAAAACTAATCCTTTTAAAATCGTCCTAATTGTAATCTAGTATATTAATCGTTAAACTCCTTAACTTACAGCTGGTGTTAAATGTCAGGTTATTATGTAGTGGCCGTAAATTTTATTACGCGTACTACAAGCAAAACGTTATCAGAAGACATCTCCGCGTTAAATTACTGCCTTGTATTATAAAAAATCGTGCCCCGTTAAAGTATTTTACTCAAAATAATGCATGCGAGGGAATAAAAATGCGAAAATAAATTTGTTTGCGTAGTTGGAAAATCGCGTACCGTGCGAACAGTTTCCTAGAACGAATTAGAATCGTAAAGGAAATTATATTTTCCGAACTTTAGCAAACTACGAAATATGGAGCAGATGCATAGTCAATATTTTGCGAACTTGATGCAACTAAGTTTACAATGAATACCTCATGTAGTAATTTGCATAGAGAGTTCGTGCATTTCATATTTTAACATCTGCCAAAATTATGCAAATGTGACTTCAGTTTCAATCAAGACCGTCATAAATTCAAATCAAACTCACCTTCTATATAGTGCTGTCGCGGTTTGTGCATCAAATCTGAAAAAGAAAAAAAAAGAAAAATTAACCTTCCTTCGAACGAATTTCCCAGACAGAAGTGTTTGTCGAAGACGTAAGAAAGCAAACATGTTTACGTCAACCGTGTGCATTTGGTGCAGTCTCTAAATTTTCCCTTCGTATGTGTTTTAAACAAAAATATATGTGATGAGTCATACTTAGAAGCGGTTAACTAAGCGAACTCGGCTATGCAAGCACTAAGTACATGCACTACATTACGAACACTGAAAGGTACGCAATAAGTGGGTGTGTTTATAACAAACATTAATGCATACGCGGACTCTGTTCTAGACTAATTAAAACCACTACCGCCGTCTCGCTTCTTTATTACCACGATAAATTACCATTTATTTCGCTGGACTATGGCAACCGCGAGAATTTTTTTCAAATACACATAAAATTAGGGTTGTTACTTACTCAGCTTTTTATGGCCGTTACCGCGAATAATCCTACTCCGACATATAAAACTAGGATAAGACCGCAGTTTTAAAGCTGTTTACACGGCGTAAACCAAAGGTGGATATGAACACGGAACATGCAGGGATTTTTTAATATTGCCATGTTCTACAACACGGAACGCGTACAAATTAGGACGACAGAAACAGAACAGAAAGCAAAATTTAATAATAATGCTAACACCGTTTTGATATTACGGCTATCAAAAATATCAAGTTAAAAATTTCGACCATTTGACGAGCGGAGCGAGCCGAATTACTTTCAAAAGTAGATTGATATTTTTCTCGACTGTCAAAAATGTCACTTCGACACGAACAATAGAGACGTTTCATTGCTGCAGAGCCCTACATTTTGCTGTTGATATTGTTCGAGTTCGCGATATCAAAAAGCTACAAACGATATTTGCTTAAACGTCTCTTCTTGAATCGGACAGTGGAAGCAACGCGGTTCGGTTTTTTAAAGATACTATTTGATATTTTAATATCAAAACTGCGTTCGCTATTTGTTAAACCACAACTCGGCCTCCGTCGATATCGGTTTTCGTTGAGGTCTCTCGTATCCAGAAAATCTCAATAGGACGTATCAATAACTCACGATTGGTGTGCTATTGTGTAATAAATCGGCGAATTTAAAAAACTTTCCTCGAGAGTTTTGTATTATGTTTCACACATTGACATAGACCTAGGGGTGAGAAAATTTTCACTCTTTATTCTTGAAACTCGTCCCTAAGGTGCAACTTTTACCTGAGCGGCGTTGTCACATAGTCATCGCGACACGAACGTTAGCGTTTGTTTATCTCGAGAAAGAGAAAATAAGGAGAATTAGGCAAACGATTTAAAAGATGGAGTCTGTCGATAACAAAGGGTCTTTCCGTAAAGTGAGTCGCATAAGCATAATATGAGAATGTGATTAAATTCCAAGTCTTCATTATTGCTAATATCAAATATGCGAAAATACGGAATAAAGTGGAGGACGTGTTGTTTTGTCGGGTGCCGGTCGTTGCTGTTACGTTTTGTCTTTGATAAAAACGGGTTTGCTTAGGAGATCTTTTTTATCTGAATCTGTGAGTGGGTTCGATTAATTAAATTCTTCTATTGTGTGTTTTACTAGAGTACGTAGATTCCAGATATCGTTCTATCTTGGCACGGCTTTATTGCATGCCTCTACCTTAATCCCAGTTTCTGCGTATCAGAAGCAATTAATCTCATCCAGATGGAAGTAGCATGTGTCGATAAAATCGACGTGATCGGATAAACATTTTTGTTTGTGCGGATGTAACGTTTAAGGAGGAATCGGAACGAAAATGAAAGCTGTGGGATAATTTTTCAGTGTCATTTGGTGTTTTCAGGTAAGTTGAAATTAGTTGGGTTATTTTCGTAATAAATGTCGTGGTGATAAATCTCTTGTTACGTTGAGAGGTAAGATTTTATCAGCAGACCGTAAGAAAATCAATTTCGGGGGCACAAAGAGGATCAATCAAGTAGGAAAATTATTGTAATTTATTTATTGCGTTGTCTGTGTTATTAGAGAAATGTGTGAAAAGGCAAACCTCATAATTTATACAAAAGGCTCGAGAAACATGCGAACCTTCAGAAAGGGGTAACTCGGAACGTGGGGAATTATCGTATCGATCAGTTGTTGCAAGTAAATATCGAGACGATAAATAAAATATGTATTGTCAGAATTGCGTATAATCAGGATTACTTCATCCAACTTCGCGATTCTGGAATGTTCGGAAGTAACTTCCGGAGTAATTAAACTTTATTCAGGAACGTGCTAAAAGAAGGGAACGAAAAACTGGCCCGCAGCTCGATATTTTTTTTAAATAAACCTGGATATTTTAGATCGTATCCGATTAGCATTACATCAAGTTTTAAATAAATATGTTTCGTAACTGTTTGTTTTCGTGTACCCATAAAAGCTTTAGTGTGTGTCGAGAGAACCTTCATCAAAATAAAACTTACTTTTATTTACAATAGCAATAAAACCGATTGGCCACTTTACGCTTTAACAATATGCTTTTATGCAAAGCTGAGTGATATAAGCGAAATGAGAAAACTTGGAAAAGTGGAATATAACGGTAGAGAAAGTGCGGATTAGATCTAAAGCTGTGTAAGCTAAAATGCTACGATATGAACTTATAGAAGCTGCTTCGAAACGATAAGTCAATGTAATAAACTGAAGATGCGGCAGCATTTTCAAACAGACACTTACATCTAGAAATGGAAAGTTCCTCGTCTATTGATTTCGGGTGACGCCGGCTAAATCAGACCATTAATAACTCAACTTCCTCGACCCGAATTCGTACCAATAAAACACAATTTGATATCTGCATTTGCCCGGCTGCGAACTTGCGCGTACCTTTTAAACGCACACTGTTAACCACCGATAATTACTCTGTATTTACAAAAGAAAAAAAAATCATCCTTGTATGTATTAATAGTCGCTTCTCTTATAGCCTGTTGCATAAAAATGATACCATTTATTACAACCAAAATTAGTTTTGTCGAAAGCATTCAATTGCGTGGGTATCAAAACATAAAATTATTATTATTATTAAATTTCACTTCGCGAGCAGCAACATTTTGTATTTTCAGTGACCAATTCTTTTTTTTTTCCTACTAGTGGAAATAGTTAATCGTAAATATCCGCCGTCTAACGACCCATTAATAAAATCAATATATGGCTCCAAGGGACGCTTCTTCAAATTTTTAACAAACATAATTAATGTTATCCTCTGGTCGAAGAACGAGGAACAAATTGAATTTATATTATTCTTTCGATAGAATAGCTTAAGGAAAGCCAAGCTTCACAGCCCTTGCTCAAAACGATCTCCCACCCGTTAGCGTTGAGCGTCATAAGCAGGTTAATAAAGGAGAAGATGAATTATTATATCGCCTCGAGAAGGTTATATTTCTCGTAGAAGTGTCTCTAGCTATTTGCTTAATGTAAGCATAAGAACCACCCAGTTTCCTAATTGGTGCAGTGGACTCACAACTTGAGTTTAAATGCTCGTACAGACGGAGTTTTTATTTCACGTTGTGTCGGAACACTTGTAGACATGACTCCAAAAAATAAAAAGACTACATCAAAGGATTACTGCAGCAGTGAATCTTCGTTGTCTGGGTGCGTTTTTGTTGCTCATTAGCAACGAAAATTTTCCTTCGACTCGAAAATTATTGTTATCATTATTAAAGTGGGCAAGTAAGTTCACATTCGTATTGCAGTAACTGCTTAGGTTCACATTTAAGTCGCGGCTACCTACTGCGAATACTAAGACCGACATTTCAAAACAACCTTCTGCGGCGAATTGCAAGAGTGTGGTTGTCCTAAAAATAGACGTTCTTTGTGACTTCATGCATTAACTCTCAAAGAGTTCTTTTTGCCACTCTCGTTCGACAAAAGACAACTTTCAGAAACTCGACTATAGAAACTATCAGAGCTGTTTATTGTTAAGTTTTTATTTTAGATTAGGACTAAAGCGCCAAGGTAATTGACAAAGCCGAGCTGTCGGTAACCAAAAAGCTTTCGATCTAAATTTCTGTGCTAGGTTAGCTATATCAAACGACAAATTCTTAGGAGTTCGAGCAGCTACAAAACCACCAAACCGATGAACATATCCCGAAGGAATTAATTTGAAGTTATGTTATTATTACTGAAATGAAATGCTCGCGTCTGCGTTTTACCTACATCTCGAATTTACAAAATTTGCATTTTGCTAACAACGGCAGCGCGAATTTTTGTTTCGACGGAAAAAATGCGCAGTGCAGCTGTGATTCGATTAGCCGAATTAGCAAAGTAGATTTTACGGTTATTTTTCGACCGTGTGGTAAACCGATCATATTTTGTAAAATGGCTCTTGAATTTCTCACTTTGACCGATCTGGGATTTAGAGTTCCTTCTTCGTTACGACGGTCATAAAATCCCGATCTGGCGATGTGGTCGAGTCAGACACAAAAGAAAATTTTATTTTTCCGTGTCTTGTGTAAGTCGGCAATAAGATAATAATGTCCATGGAACGAGGTTCGGTGTTTTGCTAAATTACAAAATGGCATTTGCTTAGGGCAGGAGCGGATTAAACGTTATGCTCTTTGCTTGGATTAGTCGATAAAAACAATAATTATAATGATATATGGGCTATTTAATGGAAAAGCCCTGGTGAAAGCGTAAGCTGGGCGACATCAGGTTTCAAAAACGTAAATATTTCCAATTGTGCTTTTTAGGGCTATACATTAGCGAAACCGGACAGTGGAAGGGTGAGCAGCGAGCACATAAACCGACACGTGCTACACAGTGCCATTATATAGACATCACGATTTATACGATAAGGGTGATCGATGTGCATGGACGCCTGATTACTTCTATCTACAAACTCACTATTTACACCCTCTCCACACAATGCGTTCTACGTTCAAATAATGCTCAATAATTATTGGCTGCACGCGGATCGATAGTGATTAATCAAGTGCACGCCCTCTCTTACGACTTAGGTGCATCGACGTTTCTAACGACGTGCTTTGGACCCA